AAGTGAAAAATCATTTCAACGTAAAACACTAGAAATAATTTTTAGGGGAACAACAATTCATAAAAAAGATATCAATATGCATGATGGAAGGATTACTCTAAAATTATAGGAATGATTGAGTAAACATCGATTCTTCTAGATCGTTATACAATTTAACTAATTTTCAAATATTGCTTGATATTTTAAACTTAAGTCAAATATATGAGTTTGTTTATGTGAGTTCTCGTTTAGTTGGGATTATGGTAGTGTACGTGAGTTATCATTCAGGCTTAACATGGAGTGGTGTGAACGGTCATTGAAAAAGAGGCAACGTAAGACTTTATTTCTAAATAACAAACATTTTGTAGTCTACTTTAGATTTTGTTCAACAAAGATGATATTGAATACTGTTCATATCATCTGAAGGAGTTAGGAAACATACATAACGCACATGAAACCCTCTCTTAGAGTTTGATTTTACTTATTAATACGAACTTAAAATTAACCATGTTCACAGATATTCAAGACAAGATTGGTTCCGACCGCCCAATGCAGTGACTCATATATCGTGTATTTCAATGTTGATATTCCTATCACCCTTCGAACATGTATGTTAGATATATCATACTATTCCTTATACCATCCAGGAGAGGGTTGCCGTACGACATCCTACCTTCGCATCTGCCCGTATGGCTCCCAGAGTAGCCCTTCTTACATCTACATTTCCCTTTCCTCTTCTCGGCATTGACTCCACATGTCTTCGAGCTATTGCATTTTCCTGAATGTAATGAACGGTTAAATATGTAACCGTGTCAAAGATATTGCATGTTACTTGAATGCCTGCGGTTTGTTCTTTGTATCCAAAATGTTTTGACTGTATCTAACGCCTTAATATTTAATATTGTTGTGGCAATTGTAGACGTAACATTCACGTTTGAAAAATTAATTCAGATTTAAGAAAAAGGTATGTTCTTTTTGCAATCATCTTTAAATAGTTAACCGATATAAATAAAAACCAAATAGAATGAACCTATCCTTCGTTTCCCTTCCCCTTAATCTTTTGCATAACCTAGATCTGACAGCTTAAGGATTAGTTTTAAACTGTCGATATATTATTGTATATAAGTATGGCATATAGCACCTTTACATTGAGTTTAAAACAAGTTATCTATCTTCCCACTATCGAACTTGAAGCTGCAATTTAATGTAGGTATATAAATAAAAGCAAGATTACTTACGCGCAATATTACCGAACCTTAGTGTTAGTTGAATAAAACCGGTTGTAGTAGTATGTCATCAATGCTAAAATAGTTTCAGTAATGTAGAATGTAATTTGCACGTATTTGTTCTCTAGATGTTGTATTTATTATCTAAGTAACGTATTTACGTTTAGGTGAGCTTTTTGGTTGTTGGTTACACACGTACCTTTTTTGGTAATTTTAAATGTTCCACGACATCCTTCTTTTACCCACATATTTCCACGTCTTAAACCAAAGCTTTTGTTCTTTACACATTTTGAGCCGGGACGTTCTTGTATCAGATCTATGTTTTTGAATCGTTCTTTTAGAGGACACTTTGTGTATCTTCCTTTTTCACTTTCACAATTAAGTATTTGTTCACAATTTGATGAGGAATCTATTAAAAACAAAGGAGCACGCAATGACTCAATACAGCACATTTTGTTAATGCAATGTTTGAAACTTTAGAAAATGTGAGTTTCTATTCTAATTTACAAATCAAAAAACATTTTATTCTTTACAATCATTATAGTGTGCTTTATATTTCCTGTAAAGCAATCATAATATTAACAATTAACATCTGAATGCTGTAAGTATGTAAACAGTTTGAGCATTTGAAATATTCCTGTAGTATCATCAAATGTTTAGGAATCTGTATTACCTTTACATTTGCCTTTTTTATCACGTTGGTATCCTGACTGACAAACACATTTTCCTTTTACTCTCTCTTCATTTTCTCCACAACGGTCGACTTTTGATGTTTTACAGTATCCTGAAAATAATTATAACAGAATGTGTAGTTATTCACCTCCTATCTAAATAGATCGCAAGGAAGTATACAGGTTAATAATACTAGTCCTCTATATTCCTTCCCCCTCCCCCGTCTCTCTCTCTCTCTCTCTTTCTCTCTCTCTCTCTCTCTCTCTCTTTCTCTCTCTCTCTCTCTCTCCCTCTCTCTCTTTTTATATATATATTCAGTCTGAAGAATCTTCTCTGACGAAATGAATGTACTAAAGACTCATTATTGAGATTATTTCTTCGTCTTCATAATATATATATACATAATACGTATATATATCAAAAACAATTGCATTCATTTAGATAGAAGCGACAATGGTAAGCGACTAAGGTCAAAGTCCAAACTTCTGGATATTGCTCATTCACTTTCTAAGTGTAATCTAGGAGGACATTGACGGGTTCTTTTTAATTAACAAAGCATTGTTCTTTTGAATCATAGAGTTAAGAGTTAAACAAATTACCGTTTGAAACTGAAAGTTAGTCTATTCGCTACAAATACAATCATGTTTACAGTTGCGGCTTCCTTCGCATATTTTGTCTTGCATTTGTCATACATAGAAACCAAAATGCAGAAGATGTGTCAAAAAATTAACATTCCACATGTGTGTTTAAATACGAAACAAGTTTCACAACCATATACTCCATACCTTTCACTTTAAAAGTACCACCACATCCCTTTTTAACCCACAACACGCCGTTCTTAACACCGTAGTCCCTCTTTCTTTTACATTTTCGTTTTGTTTTCTTGTCGGGCTTGGCTGGTCTTGCCCGTCGAATTTGCATTTCTTCTGTGCATTCCTTATATCCACCTTTGTCCGCGCTACACTCGATCACTTTATCACATTTCTCGGCGGCTAAAAGTTATAATCAATATCTAATGTCAACGTTTTGTCCTCAAACATTACATAAATCAAAATTTAATTTCTTAAATCTTTGTAAAATAACACCAGGAAAGTGAATTACACAATTGCATACATAAAAGAGAAATGAATTACAAAATCACAAATAAAATTTCCTTAAATTTGTAAATAAGTAAGCAAAAGAAGTTTGAATCGTTGATCTCTACCTTCACATTTTTCACCGTTCCCGATGTATCCAGGTTTACATACACATTTTCTTGATTCGCCTCTTGGTAAACAGTTGGCCTGCTCATCACAAGGATTTCTTTTCTCTTTGAAAATCATCGAAGAATTTCCGTTTGTTGAAACACAATGACTTACTGTAGTGCAGTCATTGCTCACCTTCTCTCTGCCCAACTATAAAATTGTATACGATTATGACATTTTTCTTGGTTTGATGTGGTATTGAAATGCAAAATCAAATTAACACACAGTTTCTTTTAAATGTATTTTATGATGTGTGAGAGTAAGCTAAGACGGAATGTCAAACAAACACATTTTGGTGTCTTAAGCTTTACGTTCAAACATAATAAAAATATGATTTTGTATTTCGTATCATGATTAAAAACACATTGGTTTGATGTCAAGAGGACCAGGACTTACTGTGGGAACAAGATTGTTTTTCTATGGTTGCCAGTTCTGTCAGGCGACCAAGGTCAACCAAAAAACATTTATTTGTTAGTGAATTTAAAGTCATGTAAGGATTGGTGCCGGATCCCTCTCATATAATGGGTGGAAGACCCCAACAGTTTGCGTTTGAAAATATTGAAACGTAATAGGATTTGGTTTTAAATGGATAATCACAACGAGTCTCAGAATTACAGTAACCCCCCTGCTTCAGAAATTGGTAATAAACTAGAACATTTGTTCTTCAAATATGTTGTATAAATGTTACAATTCAGCACTGAAGAATTCTTATGTATCACAAACAAAAGTTTGAGATGCGATACTTACGTTGTAGTATATGTTATTTTCCAAACACCCACACTGATTTGGTAGCACACACCGGTTACCGTCAAGAATGAATCCTTCCGCACAGCCACATCCCACCCTCGACGCAGACATGTCACAGTTGGTCTCGGCATCCCGTTCAACACAGTTGTTTGGACAAGAACTTACGGCGCTCATAAATTGCATGTTTTTACCACATGGTATCTCTGAAGAAGAATTACAACAAAGCAATAATGTTGAGACAATATTACTCAGAATAAAAATTTAAATGACAAAGGGATGAAATGAACATAAACATAGGGCACCTTCATGTAAGGGATGATGTTTAAATGTAAAAGGTTTGACTATCTTAAATGAAAGTATATAAAGCTATCGTACATTGATAAGGAAATGAAACACTCAATATTCAAAACTAAATACGCTGTAAGAACATTTACTTAAAAAATTGGGAAAATAACAAAAACATTTATCGTTTTCTTTTTATTTAATTCCCATATGCCACTTACTACACATATCTGGGCGCCATTGTAGAGGGTCGTTATCATCGTCACAAACAACTGCCATCATTTCCAGAGCACTGCAGATCGTTCGGTTGAGATCTTTTTCGTTACCATTGTGCATAAAAGCACACACGTCTAAGGTACACGATGCATACAGTTCCTGTGCTTTTTCGACCTCATTCTGCTCTTGTATGCACTTAAAGAACGGACTCTTTTGATTAGTTGGCAACAACCATCCACAATAATCATCACCTCTCGCAACCTCCATATCGGAGTTTGGACACTCCTCAAAGGAATGCTCGGTTAAGCAGCTGTATGTAGAGGATCGAAACGGGTTATGACCAACTAAAGTATTAGGATATTTTACATATAATACAAAAGGACATAAATCATAATTTTCAAATTTCCCAGGTAATATTGATCCGCACTACTGCAGTCAACAAGCCCAAATAATTTTGCCTCATGTTATAAAGATCACCGTTGTCATGGGATGTCGAATTATGGTGGTCAAAATGACTTGTCGAAGTATGATGGTCAAAATGACTGAAGGTTTGATTAGATTCACCAATACCACGGCAGTTAGACTGAAACACGTTTGATAACATATTTGAGTGAAATTAGATGTACTCATTCAGCTTCGAGATAAATATATTACTTGAATGTCTATCCATTTAATTTCTGCACGGTTTGCAGTAACTAGCTAGATACTTACACATCATCGTCCTCATCATCTGATGGTACAGCATAACTATCTCCAATACTGTTGTAGCGGTTTTTATCCTGAGTCACGTCTATACCTCCTTCTGTCCTGTAATCGTTGTTTTTGTCGTCATCACAATCCCCACACAAACCTTTGTATTGTCCTTTGAATGCCTTCGGAGCCATAACGCTCACTTTATGTTTTCCATCAAAGGTAACCTCAAGCCCTAAACTAGTACTCAATCGGACATCGCTGCCACTAATACCAATTTTGATATTACCACTTTCTGTGATAATAGGTGTGTCACGAACTCCACCGTTTATCTATAAGAAATGTATCAAGATATCATATTAAACTCATCTGAAAACATGTACATCACTTATACTGAACAACAATTAAATAATGCCTCAAATACACCTCACTTCCATGATCCTTATTACCAACTTATGTCTCCATTGATATAAATGAAACGAGCGAACACGAAACATTTAATTAATCCTCCATTTCGAAATTTGATTTCCTTAATGTTGTATGTCAATAAATGATATTTAAATCTGTCATGATACTGTAAACCAGAAACCTTCGCCACGTCAGTCATTTGACATTCAAATGTAAAAAGGGAAATTTGCGGAGCGTTAATTTCTTTACTGTATATTTTATACGGTGTACTCATATTCATGGTCATGGTAATTTCTCCCTCAATATGGACGGCGAAAAAGGCAAAATGATATAAGTGGCGCTGAACGTCTAACTGATTTTCGATTTGTCAGTCTGACCAAGGAAATATCATTTGATATTTTTAACGAACAGCGCTTGTCAGAGAGCAGTTCATTATGTTGGTAATGTCTTTAAGAACAAATTCCTACTTTAAAAAGAAAATAGCCTATTAAAAAAAATCATTCGGTCACACATAAAACGAAACAAATTAAGCTAGAGTCATACTTTCACCCATTTTACTAAATCACCTAGTCATGTTACGTTTGGACGAACACAACCAACCGTCAAATATATTCTACACAAGGGATGAATGAATATTTATCAAAATCATTGCTTAATTTCTCTGGTAAAAGATACTATTAGATATAACGTTAAATTTAATCCGTCATGTTTGATACCCAAATTGGATTACGTTGAAATACACAAAGCTAAGATATCCCATCATTCGAAGGAGTTTAGTTTTACGTATTCAACAAGATTGGGACACTATCGGTCTAATAACATCTTAATTGACCTCGTTCTAATGTGCTCTTGTCTACCAATGTATCTTTCCGCCTTTGCATCAGTTATACTCTCCACTAACTTACATGTACTATCCTGTCCTGTCCAAGTCTAATTGTTTGTCCATACACCAACACTTCTACGCATTTAGTGAAGGAAACATCATCTTTATCATTTCGATGTTCGTTTTCCACTTCCACACTGAAAGAATAAGGTCCCTCCGTGTCAATAAATTGGGCCAACGTGTATTTACACGTGCCTTGGAAATGTATGATTGCGCCGTCAAACGTATAGTAGTGAGGGTCTCCACTTGCATAGCACCTACAAGTTCCTGTAAAGATTGACACCACATATTAGTTCTAACTAAACTATCAAACACTGGAATAGATGAGTAATGACCACATGTGTATCATAAAAAAACAGGTATATCATTTACCTCCCCCCTTCACAGGCGTATGCCCGTATATAGTATAAACAGTTCACACGTGCTATTATTAACAAGAGGTCAATGGGCCTTAACGGTCACCTGTGTTATGTAAAAACTGATGTTATCGATGTTGCCAAATGAAAAAGAAATCATTTTGTAACAAAGGTAACTTGAACTGCAAAAATAGTGTGAAAGATCTGGGTAGTATATGTACTATGTACAAATAGTGGTTCTGTCATTCAGCTGAATTTTGATAAAGCACCTTAAGACCCTTCCATCTATGAAGAGCATTTGATTCTACCATATCTTGGTCTTGAGAAGAAGATTTTTGAAATTTCCCTTTTTGGCCCCACCCATCAGCCCCTGGGGTCAGTTAGGGCTAACATTTGCATACCATCAAACTGTTATCAAATACCGATAATGCTAATCAAGTTTGAATTAATTCCAATTGAAATTAAACAAATGCTGGTTCAAAATGTGATTTCCCTTATCTAAACGACAGTAAAGTTTACCCCGTCCCAAGGGGGAAACACGAGACCCCAGGGCCATGAAATTCACATTTTTGGTAAAATACCTTACCATCTATATCCTTCCATCTATGAAGTGTATTTGATTCTACCATATCTGGGTCTTGTGAAGAAGACTTTTGAAATTTCATTCAATTCGACCCTTTTTGACCCCGCCCCTTAGGCCCCTGAGGGCTGGGGACCATATTATTCACAGTTTTGGTTGACCTTTCGCCATGGTAGGTTTCTGCAAAATTTCATTGAAATTGATTCATGGGTTTTGGAGAGGAAGTCGAAAGTGTAAATTGTTTACGGACGCACAACGCACGACGCCGGAAAAAAAAAGCAATCGCAATAGTTCACTTGAGACTTTGTCTCAGGTGACCTAAAATACGTCACAATAGCGTAATAGCTTCATGCAGTGTTACATAAACTGTTTCATCAATTTTACCACACATTTCACAATGACGCAGTGCACTGAATTCACCGTCACATGATCTGTTTTCTTAGGACAGTGTGGGGAAAATATTCAATCACTCCTATGTGATGCATTCAGATCTATCCTCTTGTAAAGAGTTTTGAAGCTGAGCACTCGCCAAAGCCTTGTGCTTCATTTTGAAAATATCGTGCACACGGACTGAATGTTTCCTGTCTGCATCACGAAGGAGTGTCGTTGTTGTCGTCATCAAATTCACGTCGAAATTCATAAAATATCAGACGACACATTATTGTTACGTTCTGTATGATCATCAGATACACTATGAAGTGTGACCTGTGTGATTATCAGATATACCCTAACGTGTTGTCATGTGTTATTATCAGAAACACTAAAACATGTTGTCCTGTGTGATTATCAGAAAAACTATAAGGTGACGTTCTGTGTTATAATAAGATACACTATAACATGTATTCTGTGTGACTATCAGATACTCTATGACATTGTTCTCCTATTTGATTATCAGTAACACTATACCGTGTGTCCTGTGTGATTATCAGATACACTATAACGTGTGTCCTGTGTGATTATCAATAACACTATAACGTGTGTCCTGTGTGATTATCAGTAACACTATAACGTGTGTCCTGTGTGATTATCAATAACACTATAACGTGTGTCCTGTGTGATTATCAGATACACTATAACGTGTGTCCTTTGTGATTATCAGTGACACTATAACGTGTGTCCTGTGTGATTATCAGTAACACTATAACGTGTGTCATGTGTGATTATCAGATACACTATAACGTGTGTCCTGGGTAATTATCAGTAACACTATAACGTGTTTCCTGTGTGATTATCAGATACACTTTAACGTGTGTCCTTTGTGATTATCAGTGACACTATAACGTGTATCCTGTGTGATTATCAGATACACTTTAACGTGTGTCCTTTGTGATTATCAGTAACACTATAACGTGTGCCCTGTGTAATTATCAGTAACACTATAACGTGTTTCCTGTGTGATTATCAGATACACTTTAACGTGTGTCCTTTGTGATTATCAGTAACACTATAACGTTAATCCTGTGTAATCATCAGATACACTATAACGTGACGTTCTGTGGGATTATCAGTAATACTATAACATGTGTCCTGTGTGATTATCAGATCCACTATAACGTGTGTCCTGTGTGATGATCAATAACACTATAACGTGTGTCCTGTGTCATTATCAGTAACACTATAACGTGTGTCATGTGTGATTATCAGATACACTATAACTTGTGTCCTTTGTGATTATCAGTGACACTATAACGTGTATCCTGTGTGATTATCAGATACACTTTATGTGTGTCTTGTGTGATTATCAGTAACACTATAACGCGTGTCCTGTGTGATTATCAGATACACTATAACTTGTGTCCTTTGTGATTATCAGTGACACTATACCGTGTGTCCTGTCTGATTATCAGTACCACTATAACGCGTGTCCTGTGTGATTATCAGATGCACTATAACGTGTGTCCTGGGTGATTATCAGAAACACTATAACGTGTGTCCCGTGTAATTATCAATAACACTATAACGTGTGTCCTGTTTAATTATCAGTAACACTATAACGTGTGCCCTGTGTAATTATCAGTAACACTATTACGTGTGTCCTGTGTGATTATCAGTAATACTATAACGTGTGTCCTGTGTAATTATCAGATACACTATAACGTGACGTTCTGTGGGATTATCAGTAATACTATAACATGTGTCCTGTGTGATTATCAGTAGCACTATAACGTTTGTCCTGTGTGATTATCAGTAGCACTATAACGTTTGTCCTGTGTGATTATCAGATACACTTTAACGTGTGTCCTGTGTGATTATCAGATCCACTATAACGTGTGTCCTGTGTGTCCTTTGTGATTATCAGTAACACTATAAAGTGTGTCCTGTGTAATTATCAGTAACACTATAACGTGTTTCCTGTGTGATTATCAGATACACTTTAACGTGTGTTCTGTGTGATTATCAGTAACACTATAACGTTAATCCTGTGTAATCATCAGATACACTATAACGTGACGTTCTGTGGGATTATCAGTAATACTATAACATGTGTCCTGTGTGATTATCAGATACACTATAACTTGTGTCCTTTGTGATTATCAGTGACACTATACCGTGTGTCCTGTCTGATTATCAGTACCACTATAACGCGTGTCCTGTGTGATTATCAGATACACTATAACGTGACGTTCTGTGTGATTATCAGTAATACTATAACATGTGTCCTGTGTGATTATCAGATACACTATAACGTGTGTCCTGTGTAATTATCAGTAACACTATAACGTGTGTCCTGTGTAATTATCAGATACACTATAACGTGTGTCCGGTGTGATTATCAGATACACTATAACGTGTGTCCTGGGTGATTATCAGAAACACTATAACGTGTGTCCTGTGTGATTATCAGTAATACTATAACATGCGTCCTGTGTGATTATCAGATACACTATAACGTGTGTACTGTGTGATTATCAGTAACACTATAACGTGTGTCCTGTGTGAACACTATAACGTGTGTCCTGTGTGATTATCAGATACACTATAACGTGTTTCCTGTGTGATTATCAAACATTATGTGAGATTGCATGTGTTTCAGTTTAAGGAATGTAGTATTTTTTTGTGAAATAAATTGAGAATTTTGTCTAGATATGAGGAATCTATAAGAAAAAATGCTTGCATAGGAGATGGTGATGGGAAAAGATGGCTGTGAGACGGAGGATAAAGAATTCTTATAAATGTTAGTAATTTCTTGCTACACGTTCTATATTCTTTGTTATATTTTATGGATCCCTGTCTTTGTTTGCAAATGGTTTTGCTGTTATTATGTTTGTGTCCATTCATAAGATAATATTTTTAGACTGTCTGTTTTCAGTTACATGTGTTTCTGTAATAAGAGTTCATCAGGGTGTTAGTGAGGTGATTCTGTAGCGTCGTTTGAGGGTCTTTGAGGGTGATAGTGATACTTTTTCCTGTTAAAGTTATTGTGGTAGTGTTTATAATGTTCGTATTTGTTTTATGATTTTTTTATGAAATTCTTGAGTAATGGTTGTGTTCAGATGCTTATACCAACCGAAGCATTCTTCGTCGGCGTTTCCGATGAATCCTTTCATGCAAACGCATTTTTTCAGCTTTCGGTCATATTTGGTGTTTTTACCATTGCACTTGTTCTTCGGTTTTTCCTCACAGTCTGTGAAAATCATTGGGAAAATACGGTATAAAAATAATTCTCGCTACACATATTTCAAATTGCTGAGCTTATGGTTCAATTCTCGTTCAAGATATTTTAAAAACAATACAGTGCATATAGCGTTTATATTTATACATTACAGAATTATAACCTGTACATGAGTAACTGTATTGAGTTCAAATTTCATCGGTAAGCATACAGTTTAAGCGTATCAAAATTAATCATTATTTATTCAGTATCGGAAGTTTACAATACACATAACATCATAGATAACTAATTATATCGTTACTTTAAATAGATAATACAAAAATTCCAAGGATGGTTCCAAAAAGATCAATTTCATCATGCATACGTAACGCGTAGCATCATATTTCAATATAGCTACCAAAAGCCTTCTTAGCAGGTGCCTGTTTCTGTTAAAATGTGTTAGTTCTTACACAAGTGATAGATGATTAACACGTGCAGCGTTTATCTATTTCTATCCTCTCGTTAACGTTTGTGGGTATATAAGGTCTCTTTGAGGACCGCTCATTTCAAGAATCTTCAATTGGAGCATAAACATGTTGTTGTATTCCATTTGAAAAATGTAATTAAAATGTTTTGACTTAAAGTCAGCTTTGGTGGCTCATGAAGGGGTTTTAGAAAATCATATTTGATCTATTTGTAAATAGATTACATTCCTTAAATCGGTTAAATGAGAGTAAGTGCTACATTCAACGATTTCCTTTTAAAATATTTGAAATTAAATGTTTAGAACTTATCGTCGTAAAAGAAATAATTGAAACTTTGTTTGAGGGCGAGACATTGAATCAACATATCCGTATTGCGGCAGTTATCATTGTCAATGTAATCATTGTCAATGTTATCATTGTCAATGTAATCATTGTCAATGTAATCATTGTCAATGTTATCATTGTCAATGTAATCATTGTCAATGTAATCATTGTCAATGTTATCATTGTCAATGTTACCATTGTCAATGTAATCATTGTCAATGTAATCATTGTCAATGTTATCATTGTCAATGTAATCATTGTCAATGTAATCATTGTCAATGTCATCATTGTCAATGTAATCATTGTCAATGTTATCATTGTCAGAATTAATCCTGCAACGGCTTCCATATATATATATATATATATATATTACAATCAGTATACAGTAACAAATATTGTAACTTTACCTATATTTGCTCACACATACATAAATGTAGTGAATATTCAAAATATGACATTTTGCGTTCAGACGCAGCATGCGTCGAGGCTGAAAACTACATAGTTTGCAAATTAAATTTTCTGGTGCCCTCTTTTTATGTTTTATTATAGCAGTAACAATATATAACCAACAGTAAAATAAAAACTGTTCAGAGGCAGGGTACATGTATTTGCTGCTTATGGAATGTTTATCACAACGTATTTAGCTAAGAGCGCAAATAAAATATAAGATAACTTACCTTCATTGCTTACTTCAAATTTACCACGACAGCCCTCTTTGACCACCAGCTTGCCCTTACGTAAATAAAAGGTTTCGCCAAAGGTACACTTGCTGTCGGACAGTTTCTCCTTTAGCTTGACTGTATGAATGTAGAATTGTTTAGTTTCACACGATTCTTTCTTGTACTCCCAGCTAGAGCATTTGATGATTTCCCTCTGACATCCTGTTCAGAACAAATTACACAGTCAATTCAGTATGTCCACGTGTATGACACATTTTAGTTTTGTCACATCGTTATATATTTTAATTTGACTTATTACTAGCAATGTTCATTATTTCAGATTAAATGTACTCTGAATTACTAGGAATAGTACATAACTTAAACAAAAGCTCAGTTATTACTCCTATCGATCATATTCATCTTCTATGACATTAATGTAAATAATAGCATACATTTGCATGCATTACTCTCCATACAAAGCTATTTCGAATTCTCTTAAACATAGTATTTATTGAATTCATGTATGAGATTGAACACCCGTCATAGTGAAATCGAATAAAACAAGATTAAACGTCTGTAGAATTGAGACACAAGCACGAAAGTGAACATCCGTTAGAAGGTTTTAATTCATAAACATGAGTTGATACCCATTGAAGAGATTGGCGAGTGGACATCCATTACAGTTAGCAATCATTAACACTCAAAAGTAAACACCCTTTGTAGTTTAGATCTAAATTACAGACAGAAGTGAACGCAATTCAGAGTCTCCCTCCCAATCGTCTTCACACTTGAGTAGCCCTTGAGACGACTCTGTTGGTCTCCTGTATTGCACACATGGCCATTTAGCTTCTCTCAGATGGACCTCGACCACGGCCAAGTTCTACTTAAGAATAGTAAAGCAGAATATGGGTTGTTTCCTGCTCTGTCTATCCACAGAAACACATATTGATGACACAACACACATTTTCCTGTAGAGAGGTTATTTCAGTCTGTTTTACTCAGTTCCTTAACGGATGATTGCAAGTTCAAGTCTGGATAGCTTGAGCTATATAAGAATAATTTGAAGTTTTATATACCTCTTTATCACAACCTTGGTCGTCTCCAAACAGTTCAAAATTCTTATTCGTAGTTATTGGGCCTTTACAACCATCTAATATATGTCTCAACTCCCTGGGGAGCATACAGACGGTGTTGTCATTAAGGCGCTCACAGCTTGCATTCAACAACACTTATAGCCGAGAAGACTGGAATAAGCAGAGTGAATTTAGGTTTCTGGTTCAAGGATACAGCACAGTGCCATGACGGAATTTAGGTCGCAAGCCCTGAGTCCTGCCACTAGATTACCATGCATTCACAGTTATCTGCGCTGTCCTGAGAAAAGACTGTATGCTGTCTTATCCATATGAGACTGATTGTAGTTTGCCATTGGCTATTCTTTGTTCCCGAGATTGCCTGCAAGTCCTTTCCAGTCTGTACCACAGTAATAGGGTATCCATAGTGGTAATGCCTTACGCGCTTATTTCGACTTTAGCTGGTTACTGTGTGGTGCTGCTTATAGCACATATAAACGGACAGACGGACAGACGGACTGAAGGACAAGAGGAACAGCTACGTGTTAATGGTCCGACTACTGCCGGTGGTATTTGCTGCTTTGATATGTGCTTTTACTCATCACGGTAGCTGGTGCGGTGTAGTGAAGGCCCGTTGGTATTTCCTCTAGCACATCCATTCTGAATGTAAACTGTTGGTGTAGAGCTGTTTCTGTGATCCATGCCGTTCTTTATGTAAAATTTAATCTGGACAAAACTTTTTATTTATTTTTATTTTGATATGGGTAATCGAACCACAGATTACTATTTAATTTCATTTATCTCCGATATTCATTAAACGGTTCCTGTCAATATAAATATAATGCTTATTGTGTCAAGGTTCAATGTTTAAGTCAAACTGCATACACTGGAACATAATGTCGCAACGTCATTTTTCTTGTTAATCAGTGTTGTTTATATATCGTTTATTTTTTATTATTATTATTATTATTATTATTATTATTATTATTATAGTGTCATATAGATGTTATGATGATATAAAATAATCAGAAAAAAAATGTTCATAGAAAATGTAATCGTTGAAATTTCAATTATGAAAATATTGAAAATGGTTAAGATAATGGGAACAAAGGCGTAACATCAACTACACATAAAAGGAGCAGTATCAACGTGTTCCGGAAAGGCCGACGTCCTCTGATTTATTAACGACTACTGACAAATTCAAAATGTAAAATGTGCTAGTGACACATGTAGCAAAACAACAGGACTTATTGATTAGCATAAAAAAGAAACAATTGGCCTGGAGGGTCTGTATCGCTCATCTGAATAATCAAGGAACCATGGGAAGTTATTCTTATTACAAAGGTACGGAAGAAAAAGGATTTTAAGGAATTAAACCCCAAACTCCCATTTTGGACCCCTTAACTCTGTACCCAGGTGGGGTCACACCCTCTAATTATACAAAATTAAGTCCCATTTGCCAAAGGAAATGCCAGGCCAAATTTGGATAAAATCCCTCCAATGGTACAAAGACATAGGGATTTTGAAGACTTAAACCTCAAACTCCGATTGTGGGCCCCACCTCTCTGCATAACCCTTCGACAAAGGATACTCCAGGCCAAGTTTGAATAATATCCCTCCAATAGTACAGAATGTGAAGAATTTTAAAGACTTGTACCTCATATTCCCCTTTTGAGCCCCGCAACTCCACCAAAAAGGGCCACACCAATCGTTTAAGACCCCCTTGTCCAAGGATGCTCTTGGCAAAATTTGGATAAAATCCCTCAAATGGTACAGAAGGAGAAGGATTTTAAAGATGTAAACCTCAAATTTCCCTTTTGAGCCCCGGCCCTCTGGCACACCGTTTATCCTGTCAATACAAACGGGGCATGTCTATATCCTAATCATTAATCTGTATCCGGACATATCTATATCCTAATCATTAATCTGTATCCGGACATGTCTATATCCTAATTATTAATCTGTATCCGGACATGTCTATATCTTAATCATTAATCTTTATCCGAACCTGTATATATCCTAATCATTAATCTGTATCCGGATATGTCTATATCCTAATCATTAATCTGTATCTGAACATGTCTATGTCATGTTTTCATTTCCCCTACATCCTCAATGGTTGGTACATAATCACGTGGAGGTCGGTACTTTGCGATATCGATTCTGTATTACATTTTCCGGAAACATCAGGTTAAAATTCACTTCATGACGTCACTTCAATCGTTAAGTAACAATGCTTTCTACCAGCGCAGTACTTTTTTCTTGACGATTCTGATATTAAGAACTTTTATTTCGTTGAATATGTGGTATATGGACTGAAAAGGGGTATTGACCTCGACTTCACATCGGTTAATAACTTTCTTTCAGGTTAACATATATTCACCTCAACAAAAGTCCATCATTGGTAAATAGATTGTCTTTCGAAAACAGCTAAAATACTAACTAAGCTTTGTTCACACGCTGGAATGTCAACCAAGGATCAAGTTATTAAATGCTTTTCCGGTTAACACAACCAAATGAATTGGATATCCAGGTCGAGAAATACCGACTCGTATATAGTTATTATTTTATTTAGTAAGTGAAAAATGGACCTAATAGGGTTTAGCCTCTCAGAAAGCGAATCCAATTGACTGTGCATTCTTTTTGCCCATTGTTTGGCAAAGCTGTCCATAGAATTCATAACTTAAAATGCACATTCCAACTGATAGTAACGCAGTGAATGAAGACGGTGTAGCCAGCTGTTGGAGCAAGCTGGAGAGCACAAACACGTGTTTGATTGGTTCTGTTGATCCGGCACGCCGCATCTGTCAACAACTTCTGGATGTAGGATTATTGTTATGATTAGCTTTACAGCTTTTGACATAATTTCCCATCCCTAAGATACACCCATCCCTTTGTCAACATCTGAAGCAGACGAAGTTTACACAGATGGCGTTTTGTTCGAGAGAAAGCAATTTACATATACCCTGTCGGGTAATGGGTGCACATAAGTAGGTATCTTGCTGAGAACCACGTGATGCATTGTCTGAATGAGACACCTATATGTTAAAAGGTCCTTATCACATAATTTCCTCTAACGGATCGCAACAGGAAATAATGAGCATATTGTTTGTGTGTTTTTTTGTAATTTTCTTTTTTATTCAAGATTTTTTTGCAATTTATGGTATAATTACAATAAAACATTTCATATTATATATTCATACCTCACACGACGCATATATACTCTTACCTTCATCAGTTGATACACTTGGCGCCAGTACATGTAATGGTACACATGTACACATATATTGTCTGAGAGAGAGAGAGAGAGAGAGAGAGAGAGAGAGAGAGAGAGAGAG